GTTGTGTAGTAGGTTAACCGGGATTCTGTTCTTTATGGGAAAGTAAACAGTTGTCTATTACAATAGAGAGTACTGCATCAATCTTGGGGTTGTGTAGAGGTTAAACCGGGATTCTGTTCTTTTATGGGAAAGTAAACATTGTCTATTACAATAGAGAGTACTGCATCAATCTTGGGGTTGTGTGAGGTTAAACCGGGATTCTGTTCTTTTATGGGAAAGTAAACATTGTCTATTACAATAGAGAGTACTGTATCAACCTTGGGGTTGTGTGAGGATAAACTGATGCGATATATCGTATAAAATTCAAGCATTTGTAATTTCACATATTATTCATATTCTGAACCAGAGACAAACAGCATGATTCCCTCTTGCTCGTCACTGTATGAAATTGCATCTTCGGCATATTTGCCCAGATCCTTGAAGTAATCTCTTTTTTTCCAGAAATTTCTGGAATTTGGGTCCTTGTTATGATTTGGTTTTAAGAACTCTTCCAGCTTTTCCAGTAGTAGCTATCTCTATTTTGTAACTTTTATAACTCGTATGACTCTAAGGATTGATTTGGTTTGTTTTGAATTTCGCGCAACTCTACTCGAGGGCTAGGCGTCCCTAATTTAGCGATGATAGACTAGAGGGAAGGTTAGCTAGTCAACACCACCCACCGCTAACTCTTTGGCTACTTTTTTACCAACGAATAGTGGGATTGACCGTCACATTATAACGCCCCCACGGCTGAAAGGGCAAGCATGTTTGATGTGACGGGGATTCGAACACGCGACCCGCAGATTGCGAGTCAAGAGCCCTAACCACCTGGCCATGCCGGGGCCCTGTAATCAGCACCAACATTCACGTTATGTTGACAAAAAAGTACTTTAAGAATATAAATTAACAATGGGATAAAATATCGCATCCGGCTTTGGAGAATAATATGTCATTAGAATAAAATGTTGTCGTAAATAATAAATATTTAGCTGCTGCTTTTGAAAAAGCTTACCCTATACGAAGGATAAACTGACAATAATGAAATACGCTAACGTTAAATATAAAATGAACAGCTGTATAACTTTTGGAGACATGCTTGACATATTGTGAGATTTATTTTGGGGCTATATCCCCAAATTAAATATTCACAGGTCAAATGCCTCTTGCCCTGCTAATTCGGCGCTTATGAGTGGTGTCGAATAAAAAGACGACTTAGCTTATTGTTTTTTTTTACAGATTTTCTAAGCTTATTTTTAATTTCTCTACACATATTTTTGTTTCAATAAAAAGAAAAAAAAACAGGTTCATCTATTTGCAATTTCGGTAAGTTGAACCCTATCATACCCCAAACTGGGGCAGGTTAAACGTTTAATTTTTGGTAGTAGCGTACTGCGATCTTGCTATGCCCTGCAGAGAACCGAAAAATAGTAAAAAAAAAAAAAAATTAAATTATTAAAAAGAATTATACCAATACGAGCCTTTTTCTGTCTACGTAGTTGTAAATACACATTGAAACAAAATAGTCGCTCCATCAATCTCAACAAATTCCCACAGAGCTTTGGGGGTTTAAA